GTGCAGCGTGACGCTGGCCGACAGCGGCGGCTCGCCGTGGTCGCGCACCAGCACCAGCAGCCGCTGCCTGGGTGCGTCGCGCTCGCTCAGCGGCCGCGCCGTGCGCACCTCGCCGCTGTGCGCCCACACGCCGAACAGCCCGGGCTCCGTGGCCTTGAGCAGCTCGAACGACAGCCAGGCGTTCTGGCCCGCGTCGCCGTCCACCGCCACCACCTTGGTCACCAGGTAGCCCGCGTCGGCCGCGCGCGGCACCAGCTCGGGGCAGGCGGCCGAGCCGTTGGCCGGCGGGTACAGCACGGCCGGCGCGTGGTCGTTGGCGTCCAGCAGCTGCACGCGCACGCGCGCCTCGCTGCTCAGCGCCGGGGAGCCGCGGTCGGCGGCGCGCACGCCGAACTCGAAGGCGCGCAGGGCCTCGTAGTCGAGCGCGCGCAGCGCGTACAGCTGCCCGCTGTCCGCGTGCACCGACACGAGCGCCGCCACGTCGGGCTGGGGCTGCTGCTGCTGCAGCTGTGACGGCGACGGCGGCGCGGCGGGCGGCAGCAGCGAGTAGGTCACCTGCGCGTTGGCGCCCGCGTCCCTGTCGCTGGCGCTCACGGAGCCGATGAGCAGCCCGGGGCTGTTGTTCTCGCGCACCAGCAGGGTGTAGGCGGCCTGGCTGAAGGCCGGGGCGTTGTCGTTCACGTCGGACACCTGCACCTCGACGTGGTGCCGGGTGGTCAGCCTGGGCGTGCCCAGGTCGGACACGGTGATGGTGATGTTGTACTCGGCCCTGGCCTCCCTGTCCAGCGCTCCATCGGTTACCAGGGTGTAGAAGTTCTTGAAAGTCGGCTTTAACAGGAATGGCAGGTTATCTGGAATAGAGCAAACCATCTTCCTGTTGTCCCCGGAATCTCTATCTCGAATTCGGAAGATGGCGACCACCGTCTCGGGAGCGTTTTCCGGGATGGGGCTGGTGAGTGAGGACAGGGTCAATTCCGGGGCGTTGTCGTTCACGTCTGCCACGTCTACGACCGCAGTGCCTTTCCCAGAAAGGCCTCCTCCGTCGGTGGCTTCGATTTCCACCCTGTAAGATTTTATTTTTTCATAATCCAGTTTTTTTTTCAGGCGTATTTCTCCTGTGACTTCATTTACAGAGAATGTTTGTTGAATTTCGTCTGAGGGTTGAAACAAGGCATAGGAAACACTCCCGAAGTTTCCAGCATCTGAGTCCCTGGCTGAGACCTTAAGAATAGGGGCGTCTAGGGGGCTGTTTTCCGGGACCTGCACCTCATACGGGGTGTGCACAAACTCCGGAGCATTGTCGTTGACGTCCATGACCAGGATTCGAACCAGGACTGTGCCAGACCTGGGAGGAGCGCCGCCATCCAGTGCGGTGAGGGTTAAGCTGAACTCAGCCTGCGCCTCCCGGTCCAGTTCTTTGTCCTGTACCAAATCCGGATACTTCTTGCCCTCACTCTGATTTCTAGTGACAACGTGAAAATGAGAATTGGGGCTGATGGTGTATTTTTGAAGCCCGTTGCTGCCCACGTCCAAATCCTGGGCTAATTTCAAAGGAAAGAGAGTCCCTGGCGGGCTGTTTTCGGGTATTTTCAAGAGCACTTCCTTATCAGGGAATACCGGGGAATGGTCATTGATGTCCTGGATCCATAATTCTCCGTGAAAAAACTGCACCGGCATTTCCAGGAACACTTGGAAATGCAGCACACACGGCTCCGCAGGGCCACACAGCTCCTCCCGGTCCAGTTTCTCCCTCAGAAGCAAATCTCCGGTCTGAGGATCCAGCAGCAGAGGCTGCTGGTCATCGTCAGACACCACCCGTGCCGACCGGGCCGCCAGTTCCCCTGCCCCCAGGCCCAGGTCCTCCTGCAGACGGGCTACGGAGGAGCCGCCCTCGGTCTCCTCCCGCACAGAGTAACGAATCGGCTCGGCACGAACCCGAGACAAGAACACCATGAAAATAAAGGCCACCACTTGCCTGTGTGGATGAGTTTTCTGTGGCTGCTCCATGTTGGAGTCCGGGTGCTTAATTCCTTCCGCAGTCACAGTAAGGACCGGAGACATTCAGTTCTGATTTCTTGCTTGGAAGAAAGCGCCACAGTAGCTCCCAAGCTTAAATTCCTTTAGTATGTATTTGCCCAAACCCGGTGGTCATCCCGTACTGCTTTGCAAAGCGTCCTATGTGTGTGTTTTATTACGTTTTGCAACACAAAAGAATACGCAAGCTTTTTAGGATTCTTTGTGCATTTACAATCTTAGCCTGCAGCGCCACCCAGCGTCTTGACTGAGAAATTCATATATGCAAGTCAAAGCTTTTTTTGAGGTTTCCAAAGGAAAGCCAATTTTTAAGTGTAGACTCTTCTCTAACTGTGTTATTTCTTTCAGTTGTATAATTGATAACGTTGTTGTACCACAGGCAGTCGCCCCACACCTTTACCAGTGGAACTTCAAAGAACTCCACTTACCTTTGCATAAACTAATGAGGGGAAGTAGTTCTTCTAAAAATTCAGTTTGATTCATATTAGCTATATGTGTTTGTTTCCAAGAATGTGGAGACTTTAGGATGATGCAAAAGTTTATGATGTACTATGCCACATGGTCTAAAGGACTAGGTTCTATTTTTCCACAGTAGTGTGCAAATAACAATGCAGTTGAATAAGAGATATCTTGGTTTGTATTGAGTCGTGTACAGTGTGAACCCACATTAAGTATAGAAGTCAGGCAAATATTAGAACCACAGTTTCTGAGAGCCGGAGAGAAAATGAAAAGGGCTTTATGGATATGAAGCTCACAGGGTGACTGGACTTGTATTCTGCATGGCTTCTGTCAATTCTGTGTTCTTTGATATGTGCTCACAAAATTCTCTGCTCAGTTTACTTAAGGGTTGGACAAAGACACACCTACATTCAGGGAGCCAATGGTCTTCTAGTCTTTGCTAAGGGACTCGAGGTTCACGTTGGGCTGTTCCTTCTACATTCAGCGGGACAACTGACAACTCCACCTTGGCCTTCCCTTCCTACTTGCACAGAGAGACCAAAGCCCATCTAGAAGTGGGAGCTTTGATGCCCCTCAGGTCTTTCCTTAACATGCATACAGCCCTGAGCACATGAAAAGCCTACACATGCCTGTGGCCTTCTGAATTCTGAGGAATATATAAGAACTTTTCAAAGCCTTTACGGATGTCTCCTCAGATTTTTCATTTGTTACTCCATCAGCCTATTGTTTTACCAAATTTTGTGTGACACCCTGGGAGCTGTAAAATTAAATAAATGCCTCTAAATGGTTTCAACAGATGCCCTCAAAGAAAATTATTTTCTTCACTAGGTAAGCTCTGGTTTGGGTCAGATAAAGACAGCCTTGCAAGTGGAGACCTCCAGGAAGCCAGCAAACTGACCACACAATGACAGTTCTCTGTGAGCTTGAAGGAGCTCCAAGTTTGTTCTCTTTTTTTGCGGCTGCTAAACTGACCGTTTCCCCTGTGACTGTAAGCTGTTAGGTTTTAAGGCTCACTGGGAAGTTAGAGAAATGCAGATGGGAATAGGGCAAGTTAAAGCACCAGAAAATCACTGTTTTTTTTTTTTAAGCCAAGAGTTAAGCCTATTTTTCTTCAATAAATTCTCCCAATATTGCTGCAAACCTTTGGTTAAATTCCTTTTAAAAAATTTGAGGGGGCCAGTGCGGTGGCGCAGTGGGTAAAGCTGCCACTTGCAGCACTGGTATCCCATAGGGGTGTCAGTTCGAGTCCCAGCTGCTCCACTTCTGATGCAGCTCTTTGCTGAGGCCTGGGAAAGCAGTGGAGGATGGCCCAAGTCCTTGGGCCTCTGTGCCCTCGTGGGAGACCCGAAGAAGCTCTTGGCTTTGGATTGGCCCAGCTCTGGGATTGAGTCCATCTGGGGAGTCAACCAGCAGATGGAAGATCTCTCTCTTTTTGTCTCTGCCTTCCAAATAAACAAATACATCTTTAAAAAAAAAGAGAGAGAAAAAGAAAAAGTTGATTCTGACCTCTTTCCTAATTGCTTCTATGGAGAAGAGTTTTTCAGAGGTCCTCTCTCTACTATTGTCACTGATGGCCAGAATATATTTTTTTAAAAAATTACAGTAAAATATGATGGAATACACTTTGTCATAACAAACTTGAGCAACAAAACATCAACCCAGCCAGCTGTTTACTCTAAATTGAATAGGATGAGACATTCAAGATGAAGACATCCATTTCCCCAGAGATAAAGCAATATAAGAAAAAACCAAAATGACACTAGAGAATATGGTTTTTAATTTTTTATAACCATGAAATTGTCTTAGAAGTTAACTTTCTCCTTGAAGTCTTTCCTCGTCAACAGTTGATGCTGAAGACGTTTAACTTTGTAGACTTGAACACATTTGTTCCTGACATCCCTGTGATAAACCTCTGACAGTGACAGCTCTGAAACCAATTCCAGTAGCATTGATATGCCAAATTTTTAGAAAGGGACCTTCTTATGAGCAGAAGTCCATTAAAGTTTCCTTGTTCATCATCTACATCTCAGAAGCAGAAAAAATTGAACAAGAGAGAAGACTGAATCAAGTAAATGATCCTAAGGATGGGGAACCTGTTGGCTTGAGTATCCTATGCATGAGAGCAGGGAAGGCAGTGAGAAGTCCTTCATCTGGAGCAGGGTAATCCTGGAAGACAGAGGTGGCTTCTAGTTACTCCTTAATAATAGCACAATGCTGTGCTGGGATGTGCTTCATATGTCATATTTTCCAGCTATTTGTGCCAGTGCTAAACAGCCAATACTTTGAGGCCTCTGATCATTAATAAAATAATCACACATTCCAGCCCAAGTTGTCATCCAGGTTACGACCCTGTTCTCCTTGGCCAGCTCTGTGCACAATGCAGAACTGCTTTGCTGTGACTTTTCTCTGTCACAGAGCTAGCTGTGCATGTCATTCAGGATCACTGCATACAACAGCCTTGTTGCTCAATTCTAGAGAACCCAGAACATTGTGAACACAAACTCATCAAGAGTTTTAAAAACCAGAGACACCAAAACATACAGTTCCATTGCTTATATTGATACATAAAAAGAGGTTTGAGATAACAACCTGGGGGAACAGAGCAAAAATGACTTAGGTGTTAGTCCTTAGATAGTCTCCAGTTTTACCAGCAGGAAGGGTAGGACATTTTTGTGAACTAAAAAGGTACATGAGGTCTGCGTTAGCAAATTTTTGACACTCCTGGACAACAGTAGTTATGTTATGCTCTATTTCTGCATGTAAGACCCTGCCCTTATGGAAAAAATGGTATTCACTCTGACCTCTGTTACCAGATGGTATTTTTGATAGATTGTTTCCTAAATAGATGATGTATTGGAAGGTCCAAGTCAATTTTCCATCACCAGAGTCCCAAGCTATTTTATATATATAAAAAATAGGAACCACCACTTCAGAGAAATCCTGGATTATACTATTCTATTTATGAGCATCATAATGTGTATTTATAACCTGAATCAAGACTGAGTTTTCCACATATCCCCCATGCATGAATTACTTTAGCTGCTATTACATTTTTTTCAAAACCAATTTATTTTGTCTGAAGATTGCAAAGTAAAAAGTTACCCATTAGATTCCATACCCACAGCCTTGGCAGACACCATGACAGCCCAGAAGAAAGAACCTCCCTGAGATGCTTGCTTTATAGAGCGAATGCGGAGCAGTTCTACCTGAGGGAGCCTGGGACCCAGCTCCAACAAATCTTTAGAGGTTTTTCCAGAACTACTACCCACATGTGGCAAAGTGGGGTTAAAATTCTTATTTAAGGTTTGGATTTGCAGAGGTTGGAGCTAAAATCATCATGAGACCTTTCTTCCTCCCTACCCCAAGATTATCAAAAGCAGTACTAGTGGGAACGAAACCACCAAGAAGAGATAACGCCATTAATAAAAAAAATCACATATGAGAAAGACTACCAGGAAAAATAGACCCAACAAATAACAGAGCTATTCCTCTGCTATAAGAAAAAGTGATTCAGAACAATATGGAAAGAACTTACAATAATTTATTCAAACAAAGAAGGAAATAGCAATTGTAGAACAAGTTGTAAAAATCTGACAAATAGAAATCATGAAAAAAAAACTATAGTTACTGAGAAAAGCATACTAAGTCAATCTCAGGTTGTAGCCTAGAAAATGTCAGAATATCAGGAATAAAGAAAAATCTAAATCAAAGTGAAGAAGTTTATTTACTGATTAAAAAAAATGAGTACAGTGATACCATACTGTTCATCAAAAGTGTTGAAAACCCAAAGAATAAAAGGAAAATGAGTTTAAATGTTTCAATCTATTTAAATAAAACTGATTAAACAAATGTGTACTTGACAGAAAATTAACTCTAAATTGCAACTAATAGGGTTTTGGATTTGAAAAGCTCTAACAATTTACTCTGAGAAGCCAAAGATAACCTAATAATATAGTGGCAGGATATACAGGTAAACAACATTTTTAAAAGTCCTAATATGAAAGGAAGCAGTACATGAGGGCTGTAGATTTTTGAAAAGTATGGTGAGTTAATGCATAGTTTTAATGATTGATATTTGAATATAGCTTAGTCTTATAGCAATCCCATATTAAAATTTAAAATCCAGAATGAAAATCTAGGAAATACTTAAAATTATTTCTAAACTGATGTGTTTGTAGGAATAAAAAGGAGAGTACATATGATCTAGAATTATGCTTTAAAAAAACTGGCTACAGAGAGTTTTTAAAAGTCTTTTGGATGTGCAAAATTCACTTAATTTGGATACCATAAAGACTAACCAAAGTTGAATGAAAGCACCAAGTAGAGGCCATAGAACTTAAATATAGATTACAGAAAGTTAATTCTATTAACAAAAATACTGAATTTAATTTATTCTTTGTCTCCAAAATCAAAGATATGAATGAGCTCAATATTTGGAACTAAATTGGAGATTCATACATCATTTTACAGTTCTCCTAGTCTCCAGAAATCTGAACAAGCAGAGAGACCAACCATCAAATAATAAATTGGTTCTATGGAAGCTGGAATTATATTCTTGTACCTCAGTCTTTCTAAACACAAATAGTTCTTTTGAAATTCAATGTAGATTAGTTTCAGATAAACAAGTCCTTAGAAAATTCATTGATTTCTCAGAGATGTTTCAATTATTCAGCAGATATAAGTTGAACATCAACTGTCTGAAACACTTGCTTTCTGTTAGAAATGTGACTGTGAATAAAACAGAAACCAACTCTACTTTCAAGCTGCTTAGAATCCAGTAAGGTCATAGAGTGTATTCTGGAGAGAAGGGCTCAAATTTTTACTTAATTTCTCTTACTTTTTTGAAAACTGGAGCAGCATTGAAAAATTCGTAAATAATTTACATTGATGGATATATCAGCTCTCTTAGAAGAAAAAATAGTAATTCACTATTATTAAAACATAAAATCATCTCCTTTATCTTGGGCCAAACATGCAGTTTGTAGAATTCCAGAAAGTAGCAGAACTACACATGTGATGCCTTCTCCATCCTACATGTAATGAGATATTCAGATAAAGAAGTCTTTGAAAGTTGTCTTCGAACAGAAAGTTAAAATATTTCTGAAGGCCCAGAAAGAAAATCAACTTTGAATCAAGAATAAGGTGTAACTGTTTTTCAACTTTTAGTCCAGATTCCCACTGTTTGGCTTTGGATTTATACATTCTTGAGAAGGTAAACAGAATTTAACAATATATTTATGAACTAAGTTACTATAATAATGCCTGTTCTTCTATCTTCCAGGTCTAAATGGTCCTTAGCATAGAGCCCTTCCAACTTTAGTCTTGGGTCATATAATACATTGGCTCAAAAATGAATAAGGAATTACCCTCTGTTCTTTCCATAACTGCATACTTCCCTGGATGTGACTTTTTTTTTTTTGCCTTTTTCTCGATCTTCATGGAAACTCAGCTAAGTGTGGTCCAATGAAAAAATATGACTAAAATAATCAGATTCAAATATCTTTACAAAGTACTTCAAATGAAAGGAAATGTCATTTTTCCTGATTGTTAAGGATTTATGCATTTGATGCTCAGTTTCATAAAATGATGCCATTTTAATGTGATTATATGCACACTTCAAGTACAATGAGCATGTCTATCTTAAATTTTTTCTCTTTTGGTAATTTTCAAAATCTTTGAGAACTTCAATTCTCTTTTACTAGTCATAAGTTTTCAATTCCTGTAAAGTTTTGTTTCTCTGGATGACAAAATACCTGTGAGAAGAAAACATATTTTCCCTAAATTTCTATAATTAGAGATTAAATATTTTGCTATTTAAAAATAAGCTTTTCAGGGTCAACATTGTGGTACAGGGGGTAAAGCCACTGCCAGTGACACCAGCATCCCATGTGGGCACTAGTTTGAGTCCCAGCTGCTCCCCTTCTAATCCAGTTCCCTGTTAATGTGCCTGGAAAAGCAGAAGAAGACGACCCAAGTGCTTGAGCCCCTGTACCTATGTGGGAGACCTAGATGAAGTTCCTGGTTCCCTGTTCCAGCCAATGCAGCCATTTAGGGAGTGGGCCAATGGATGGAAGATCTTTCTTTCTCTCTCTCTCTCTCTAGTTCTGCCTTTTAAATCAATAAAAATGTTTTTTCAATACCACTCAAAATATTTGATGATTTAGTTGCTTCCAGATTTTATTATTTGTAGATAACTTAAACGTTCACAATATTGTGCTCTCCTCTTCCTATCCTTGTGTATCTTTTTTTTTTTTTAAGATCTTATTTATTTGAAAGGCATTCATTCCCCAAATGGCCTCAACGGCTGGAGTTGGGCTGGTCCGAGGCCAGGAGCTTTTCCTGGGTTTCCCACATGGGTATAGGGGTCCAGGCATTTGGGTCATCCTCATCCTCCTATTCTTTTCCAGGCACATTAGCAGGGAGTTGGATGGGAAGTGGAGCAGCCGGGACTGAAACCTGCATGCATATGGGCTGCCAGGTTGACTTTATTACCCACTATGCCACAGAGCCAGCCTCTATCTCCTTTTAATTACAATGTAGGAGATAGAATGCTGATGTGGATGGACAGTTTTTATCCCAGAAGGATCATATATAATCCGAAGTCATGTCAGCTTGAAATCGAAAGGAGGGAACCAAGAAAAGAAGCAAAGAAAATATTTTCTCCCTAAAACACCACATAAATAGCAAGTAGAGACTGACAAAAGTAGTGCTGAGTGGGCACTAATTTTACCAACAGGCTTTCAGAGATCATATATTTATGTAATTTCTTGGAAAAAAATGGCCTCCGGTTGATAGCAATTTGCATCTCAAAATTATGAAAACCAGATTTGCATGCAACCAGATGCCTTACTACACAATGTTTTCATGCCAATAAGAAAAGCCCAATGGCCTGGTTTTCTCCCGTCAGTCAAGGCGAATGTACTTCAGGCAAACCTAAGACTAATTTGTTATAGTAGAATACATTTTTTTGCCCATTTTCAGCCAGTACAAACGTGCAATATTAAAATATTATTACAAACGTCAGTACATAAAATGAAATGTATTACATTCAAATAAGTACTGTAATCTAGAAAGGTGGTATATTACTCTGCCTTAAAGAAAACACATTCTTATCTATCCTCACACTTCATTAACTGTGGGCAGAACAACCTCAGAATTATTATAAAGCACATTATATAAATATATCCAAAAACGTAAACTCTAAAATTTGTGGTTTGGAATACTTTCTATAACACTTTGAGATAAGAAGTTGAGATGAGTGAAACAAGCCTATTTAAAATCACCACTAAAAGAAAATGAATTTATTTTTGCTTCCCTATGAATTAAGAAAACAAGGTATTGAAACTGCATTGGTAAGCTAGGAAGAGATAAAAAGAGTATGCATAGATTAACTACACAGTTAAAAAACATATCAACGAACAATCACTGACTTTAAAAAGCAACATGCATAGTCAGACTTTTTGATTCTTTTGTTAATGATAAAAGTATTACTGAAACTGGAGTTTTGTTACAGTCCTGCTAAGTGCCTTGAGCCAGATAATTGGGACTAATGGGCTCCAGGAACTTGAACTCCCCGGTCCCGGCGTCGCCCGTCAGGCGCACCTCGTACTGGTAGCTGTGCGACAGCGTCCCGCCGCCGCTCACGTCCAGCAGCGGCCCCGGGAAGCGGCCCTCCGCACCCGCGCCGCCGCCGCCAACCGCACACCCCGCCCCCACACCAACACCGCCCGCGCCCCCGCCCGCGCCGCACAGCCGCGCCGCCACCAGCGCCAGCACACTCAGCACCAAGAGCGACGACACCGCCGCCAGCGCCACCACCAGCTGCACCGTGAGCGAGTCGGGCCGCGCCGCCTCGGCCGCCGCCGCCGCCTCGGGCAGCGCCAGGTAGGGCTGCGAGAAGCCGTCCACCAGCAGCACGTGCAGCGTGACGCTGGCCGACAGCGGCGGCTCGCCGTGGTCGCGCACCAGCACCAGCAGCCGCTGCCTGGGCGCGTCGCGCTCGCTCAGCGGCCGCGCCGTGCGCACCTCGCCGCTGTGCGCCCACACGCCGAACAGCCCGGGCTCCGTGGCCTTGAGCAGCTCGAACGACAGCCAGGCGTTCTGGCCCGCGTCGCCGTCCACCGCCACCACCTTGGTCACCAGGTAGCCCGCGTCGGCCGCGCGCGGCACCAGCTCGGGGCAGGCGGCCGAGCCGTTGGCCGGCGGGTACAGCACGGCCGGCGCGTGGTCGTTGGCGTCCAGCAGCTGCACGCGCACGCGCGCCTCGCTGCTCAGCGCCGGGGAGCCGCGGTCGGCGGCGCGCACGCCGAACTCGAAGGCGCGCAGGGCCTCGTAGTCGAGCGCGCGCAGCGCGTACAGCTGCCCGCTGTCCGCGTGCACCGACACGAGCGCCGCCACGTCGGGCTGCTGCGGCGGCGGCAGCAGCGAGTAGGTCACCTGCGCGTTGGCGCCCGCGTCCCTGTCGCTGGCGCTCACGGAGCCGATGAGCAGCCCGGGGCTGTTGTTCTCGCGCACCAGCAGGGTGTAGGCGGCCTGGCTGAAGGCCGGGGCGTTGTCGTTCACGTCGGACACCTGCACCACGACGTGGTGCCGGGTGGTCAGCCTGGGCGTGCCCAGGTCGGACACGGTGATGGTGATGTTGTACTCGGCCCTGGCCTCCCTGTCCAGCGCTCCATCGGTTACCAGGGTGTAGAAGTTCTCAACAGAGGGTTTCAGGACGAACGGGAGGTCGTTCTGAATGGAACACACGACTCTCCCATTGTCTCCAGAATCTCGGTCCGAAACGCTGAAAACGGCCACTACCGTCTCCCCCGAGTTCTCGGGGATGGGGCTGGTGAGTGAGGACAGGGTCAGTTCCGGGGCGTTGTCGTTCACGTCCACCACCTGAATGAGGACGGTGGATTTTCCCGAAAGCCCTCCCCCGTCCTTGGCCTCGACGTCGACTTCGTATGTCGTCACTGCCTCGAAATTCAGATTTTTGACCAGCTGCATAGCACCAGTGATTGGATTGAGCTTAAACGTTTTGAGAATTTCTTCAGAAGCATGAGAAAATGCATATGAGACTGTCCCAAAAGTTCCCGCATCTGAATCAGAAGCGGAGACAGTGACCACGACAGTGTTGATGGGGCTGCTCTCCGGAATTTGAACCTCATAGAGCGACTGTGCAAATTCGGGGGCGTTGTCGTTTACGTCCACTACCAGGATGTGGATGCGGGCGGTCCCGGACCTGGGCGGAGAGCCGCCGTCCAGCGCTGTGAGCGTCAGGCTGAGCTCGGGCTGCTGCTCCCGGTCCAGCGCTTTGTCCAGCACCAGTTCTGGGAACTTCCTTCCGTCTCTGCGACTGCGGGTGAGGACGTGGAAATGGGAACTGGGAGCGATCGTGTAGTTCTGCAGACCGTTCGGGCCTACATCCAAGTCCTCGGCATTGCCCAAAGGAATCACCGTCCCGGGCGGAGCGCTTTCCAGGATCTTCAGTTGCATTTCATTTTCAAAGAACACCGGACAATGGTCATTCACATCTATCACCTGGAGCTCATTCGTAATGAACTGCAAAGGGTTTTGCAGCAGTATCTGGAAATGCAGGATACAAGGCTCGGCGGGGCCGCAGAGCTCCTCCCGGTCCAGCTTCTCATTGAGGAGCAGGTCACCGGTCCGCTGGTGGAGCTGCAAAGGCTGTCTGCTCCCCCGGGACGTAACCTGCGCGCCCCTAGAGGCCAGCTCCTCCGCCCTCAGCCCCAGATCCTGCGCTACATTTGCTATCAGAAAGCCCCTGTCTGTTTCCTCGGCCACAGAATAGCGTCTCGACTCGGACCCCGCCAGAGACCCAGCCATAGAAACAAAGAGAAGCAGGACTTGCCTTTGTCTCCGAAAGCGTTTGCCTCCCGCTTCCACTGCACTCGCTGCCATGTTCTCCCAGGGAATGTCGCCAAGCGGAGCCTCAGACAAAGCGGCGGAAAGCAGCCTTTTACCCCTCAACCTTTAGAGGTGGCCGAGCGAATAATTCTTTTCCGGGGCTCAGTTCGGCTTGCTGAAAAATCTTCCCAGGTTCACGTCTCCCAGATGGCCGCGCTGAACCCGTGGCGTCACAGAATTTGTACCACGCCAGCGGTTTCCTTCGCCTTTTTAGCCAACAGCGCCACCATGCGTTTGCTTGCAGTTTTAAAACCTTGGAGAAAGGTTTGTTTTTTGGTTTTGGTTGTTGGATCATTTATGGCCACGAATCAAGCCCAGGTGAAGCTACTAGTGGGGTTTCTCTTGTTACACGAGTTAAGTAAACCAATAAGTAGGGAAATTAAATGCGATTCTATCTGAAAAAAGCGACTGTCTCTGGTATAGTTCTCCTTTTCGTGACTTTTGCTGAGTTGTACCCACGTTACGCTGCTGCTTCCCCTACCCCATCATGCTGTGATTGTCCCACACAAACTTAAAAACCTGTTGCTCAGAAAACATGCGGACTATCCTATTCGTATTCTGTTTTCCAAATTTTGTAAAACACTGTGAACATACAACTTCAAGATAGGTCCTAAAAATTATAATACATCATGTCAGTGGGGAGATCCAGGGGGTTGCAAATGCCTACTTCCTTCCACATTTTGAGACTCAAAAACATTTACAGCGCTTTCTCTATTTTATAGCAATTTTTCAATTACTAGTTTCATCTGTATCAACTTTATTCCACAAGTAATTATTGTGTCTGTAGAAGTTAGGTATTTAATAGCAACAAGGCAATAGCTATACATCTTATACTGCTTTACAGTGAATGGAGTGTACATATGTAAATATATTCCAATTAGTGCTACATTGGAAATATATAATGAATGCACTGAAAGCATACAATAAGGAGATCTAAGCTAAGGGCATGGTTTAAGAAACATGCATCATTTAGTCTGGAACACGAAGGATGAGAAGCAGCATGCCAGGAAGAGAGACGGTCCTGGGGGAGTAACGCATAGCTGTTAAAGACAATGAAGGAAGTACAGCGTGCCCAATACAGTGTCTCAAGAGTAAGTGGGGGGGGGGGAGTGGCACTGTGCATAGCGGATAAAGCCGCTGCCTGCAGTGCCAGTATCCCATATGGGCACCAGTTTGAGACCCGGCTGCTCCACTTCCAATCCAGCTCTCTGCTCTGCCCTGGGAAAGCAGTAGAAGATGGCCCAAGCACTTAAGCCACTGCAGCCATGTGGAAAGACCCGGAGAAAGCTCCTGGCTTTGGATTGGCACAGCTCTGTCCACTGCACCAATTGGGGAGTGAACCAGTGGATGGAAGACCCCCCCCCCTCTATGTGTAACTCTGACTTTCAAAGTAAATAAATAAATCTTATTTTTTAAAAAAAGAGTAAGTGGGAGGAGAGGCTAGAGAGAAAAAGCAGGGCCAAATAATGAGTGATTATATTTTAAGAATAAAAGGAAGCTATTGCAAGATTGTGGATTAAAAAATTGAAACAATACAGTATCATGTAGTCCATCTTGTCTCTTTTGTATTTGTACACAATTATCAGATATGTTATATGCTGGCTCACCCACTGAGGTTTACTTTGAACGTTATTGATAATAGCAGCTACACTTTTGCATTGTATTTGAGCATAACAGCCAGCTATTGAAATAGCTGCAGCCGGCGCCGCGGCTCAACAGGCTAATCCTCCGCCTAGCGGTGCCGGCACACCGGGTTCTAGTCCCGGTCGGGGCGCCGGATTCTGTCCCGGTTGCCCCTCTTCCAGGCCAGCTCTCTGCTATGGCCCGGGAGTGCAGTGGAGGATGGCCCAAGTGCTTGGGCCCTGCACCCCATGGGAGACCAGGAGGAAGCACCTGGCTCCTGCCATCGGATCAGCACGGTGCGCCGGCGCGCGGCAGCCATTGGAGGGTGAACCAACGGCAAAGGAAGACCTTTCTCTCTGTCTGTCTGTCTGTCTGTCTCTCTCTCTCTCTCTCTCACTGTCCACTCTGTAAAAAAAAAAAAAAAGAAAGAAAAGAAAAACAGAAAGAAAAGAAAGAAGAAATAGCTGCTATCATTGGACAATCAAGTGGCTCACCAAAGGTCCTACAACCAAATTGATCAGACTTTCAATAACAAAAAAGAACTCTTCAGCACTGTCAACTTCAACATGAGACCATTTAAGTATATACTGTAATTTTAATAATGTAAGCAATTCAAATATACATAAAATGGTATAAAAACATTAAGATGAGTAACACTGAGGATAAAATTCATTTTTAGTGTATGGATCAGAAGTTCAACTGCAACAAGTGAAGAACTTTGGATGAGTCATGTAGGGAATTATAGAAGGAAATTTAAATTATAAGCTTGAATACACAATTGCCCCCCAAAAGCCAAGGAACAGGAAAAAAGACTGAAATTAAGCAGTTTTTTCTAAAAAGGGGGGGGGACATTTTGAAGGAAAGAGATACCAAGGACTAAAACATGCACAAGTTTGAATAACTGTGACCAGTTCTAATAACAAAGGTAATGCAACTCAGGGTGGGCATTTTGCATGGAGGTTTAGCCATGCTTGGGACACTTAGCATCCCATACTGGAGTCCTTGCTATGCTGTCCAGTCCAGCTTCTGCTACTGCATAGCTGGAAAGGCAGCAGGTGAAGACTTAAGTACTTGGGTTGCTGCCACGCATATGGGAAACCAGTACTGAGTTCCTGGCTCCTGGCTTTACCCGGTCCAGCTCTGGCTGTTGCAGCATTTCCAGAGTGAGCCAGTGGATGGAAGACCTCTCTCTTCCCCTCCCTTCCCTCCTCTCTTCCACCCTTCCTCTTAAATAAAACAAATGAATAAAAATTTTCAAAACATAATACATCAGACATCATTTAATTCCACTAAAATTTTATCCTTCAAATATTTTCATGCACTTAAATAAGACTCTTCTTTATTTTTTATTATTTTTTAAAATTTATTTGAAAGTCAGAGTTACACAGAGAGAATGAGAGGCAGAGAGAGAGAGGTCTTGTGTCCACTGGTTAACTCCCAGTTGGCTAGGAGCCTCTTCCGAGTATCCCACATGGGTGCAGGGGCCCAAGGACTTGGGCCATCTTCTACTGCTCTCCCAGGCCATAGCAGAGAGCTGGATCAGAAGTGGAGCAGCCAGGACTCGAACCAGCATCCATGTGGGATTCTGGCACTGCAGGCAACAGCTTTACCCACTAGACCACAGTGCCAGCCCCGACTCTTCTTTCTTTCAATTGGCCATTCATTTTATTAAGAACGTCTGATGCTCTAGTGATTGTGCTAATCACGCAATAAATAGAGATCTATTGAGAAACTGAAGTCAAACAACTAAAAAAAGCATTAGAAAGTCAAAAGAATTGAAGGAGTGAAATAGAAGTAGTCAGTGTAAACCAAATAGTGAGTAGAGATACATAAATCTTTCCACCCTCAAAGGCTTATTTGTAATTGAATCAAAGTGCTCCAGAAATTTTTGAAAAATGCTGGAACACTGGTTCAAGTTCCAGCTGCTCCATCTTCCATCCAGCCCCCTCCTAATGGCCTGAGAAAGCAGCTGAAGACGGCAAAGTGCTTGAGTTCTTGCCACCCACATGGAAGAGCTGGATGAAGATCTGGGCTCCTGGCTTTGGCCAGGACCACTACAGCCATGTGGGGGGATGGAAGTGGATGGAAGACACACTCTCCTCCGCCCCCAACTCTGCCTTTCAAATAAAATGAATCTTTTTTTTCCAAAGGAAAAGGCAATGCCAAGCTACATTCAAAGTTTCTAAAAGTTGGTAAAGGACGAAAATATATATTCCCTCATATTTTTGGATTTTAATTAAGTACTCAGTTATAGAGGGTTTCTCATGATTAAAACATTTTAAAGAGGGTATTAAAATAAGTTGAGAGTTTATACAAAACTATTTGAAGTAGAAAAATATAAATAGCATGCTTTTGAAAAATCACTAGACATATACTACCTAGCCACATTTTAGAATACTGATTTTCAACAAAGAAATTTCTGAGAACAATGTGAAAGTTTTGTAGAATACCCTTAGTTTTCACCATCTTTAAAGAGTCAATATTTGCATACGCTAACACTTTAAAGATGTCTGTATTTGGATAAACAAAGGAAGAATGCTGTTATTCACAAATATACTTATGTGAATGATTTAGTCCATGTAAATTCAGAAGATAAAAGTGACACTAGTCTAAGGGGATAAAACAAGTACAAATATTCTGGGCTGACAATAGTAAACACTTTAAAATGTAGATTTTTAGGAGCCAGTGCTATGGTGTAATGGTTGATGCTGTCGCCTGCAGAGCTGCGTCCCATATGGGCACTGGTTTGAGTCCCAGCTGCTCCACTTCAGATCCAGCTCTCTGCTATGGCCTGGGAGAGCAGCAGAAGATGGCCCAAGTGCTTGGGCCCCTGCACCCACGTGGGAGACCTGGAGCCTGCGAATGAAAGACCTCTCTCTCTGCCTCTAATTCTCTCTGTGTAACTCTGGCTTTCAAATAAATAAATCTTATTTTAAAAATGTACATCTTTGAAATTCCACCAGGAAATGTGGAAAGTGAATGTTAAAAGGTGCCTTAACTTAAAAATTAAAGATTTCTGAAAATATGCATTTAACTTTCACATTTTAAGTTACAGTGAGAATAAACAAAATTAGAATAAAAAGAATATTTGCATTTTACATTACCACACTCACTCCAAAGACACATTCACTTGTAGAAATACCAGTAATACACACCGTAGCGGAACACGACGGTGATTTTCCAATAAAAAGTCACTTCCAATGGGCAAAGTACTAAGAAAAAGAAACTCCTCATAAATTAAGATTAGAATCAGCAGACTTTTATTTATATTTAACTGAATTCGAAGCTATTTCGGAAACTCGGGTTTATCTCATTAACTCTTTCTGCACCGTTAACAAGGAAGTTGGGACTAATGGGTTTCATGAACTTGAACTCCCCGGTCCCGGCGTCGCCCGTCAGGCGCACCTCATACTGGTAGCTGTGCGACAGCGTCCCGCCGCCGCTCACGTCCAGCAGCGGCCCCGGGAAGCGGCCCTCCGCACCCGCGCCGCCACCGCCGCCGCCGCCGCCGCCGCCAACCGCACACCCCGCCCCCACACCAACACCGCCCGCGCCCCCGCCCCCGCCCGCGCCGCACAGCCGCGCCGCCACCAGCGCCAGCACACTCAGCACCAAGAGCGACGACACCGCCGCCAGCGCCACCACCAGCTGCACCGTGAGCGAGTCGGGCCGCGCCGCCTCGGCCGCCGCCGCCGCCTCGGGCAGCGCCAGGTAGGGCTGCGAGAAGCCGTCCACCAGCAGCACGTGCAGCGTGACGCTGGCCGACAGCGGCGGCTCGCCGTGGTCGCGCACCAGCACCAGCAGCCGCTGCCTGGGCGCGTCGCGCTCGCTCAGCGGCCGCGCCGTGCGCACCTCGCCGCTGTGCGCCCACACGCCGAACAGCCCGGGCTCCGTGGCCTTGAGCAGCTCGAACGACAGCCAGGCGTTCTGGCCCGCGTCGCCGTCCACCGCCACCACCTTGGTCACCAGGTAGCCCGCGTCGGCCGCGCGCGGCACCAGCTCGGGGCAGGCGGCCGAGCCGTTGGCCGGCGGGTACAGCACGGCCGGCGCGTGGTCGTTGGCGTCCAGCAGCTGCACGCGCACGCGCGCCTCGCTGCTCAGCGCCGGGGAGCCGCGGTCGGCGGCGCGCACGCCGAACTCGAAGGCGCGCAGGGCCTCGTAGTCGAGCGCGCGCAGCGCGTACAGCTGCCCGCTGTCCGCGTGCACCGACACGAGCGCCGCCACGTCGGGCTGCTGTGGCGGCGGCAGCAGCGAGTAGGTCACCTGCGCGTTGGCGCCCGCATCCCTGTCGCTGGCGCTCACGGAGCCGATGAGCAGCCCGGGGCTGTTGTTCTCGCGCACCAGCAGGGTGTAGGCGGCCTGGCTGAAGGCCGGGGCGTTGTCGTTCACGTCGGACACCTGCACCGCGACGTGGTGCCGGGTGGTCAGCCTGGGCGTGCCCAGGTCGGACACGGTGATGGTGATGTTGTACTCGGCCCTGGTCTCCCTGTCCAGGGCTGCATTTGCCACAAGAGTGTAAAAGTTCTCTACAGAGGGTTTCAGGAAGAAAGGAAGGTCATCTTGGATGGAGCAAACTATCCTTCCGTTGTCCCCCGAGTCAGGATCTGAAACACTGAATACGGCAATTAGAGTTTCCTGCGAGTTTTCTGGGATCTGACTGATGAGTGTTGAGATGCTCAGTTCCGGAGGGTTGTCGTTCAAGTCCATCACTTGGACGAACACCACACAACTTCCAGACAGACCTCCAC